ACACAATGTAGACAACACAACACAATATAGACAACGCAACACAATGTAGACAACGCAACACAATGTAGACAACGCAACACAATGTAGACAACGCAACACAATGTGGACAACGCAACACAATGTAGACAACGCAACACAATGTAGACAACGCAACACAATGTGGACAACGCAACACAATGTAGACAACGCAACACAATGTAGACAACACAACACAATGTAGACAACGCAACACAATGTGGACAACGCAACACAATGTGGACAACGCAACACAATGTAGACAACGCAACACAATGTAGACAACACAACACAATGTAGACAACACAACACAATGTTGACAACGCAACAAAATGTACACAACGCAACACAATGTAGACAACACAACACAATGTAGACAACGCAACACAATGTACACAACGCAACACAATGTAGACAACACAACACAATGTAGACAACGCAACACAATGTGGACAACGCAACACAATGTAGACAACGCAACACAATGTAGCCAACGCAACACAATGTAGACAACGCAACACAATGTAGACAACGCAACACAATGTAGACAACGCAACACAATGTGGACAACGCAACACAATGTAGACAACGCAACACAATGTAGACAACGCAACACAATGTACACAACGCAACACAATGTAGACAACACAACACAATGTAGACAACGCAACACAATGTAGACAACGCAACACAATGTGGACAACGCAACACAATGTAGACAACGCAACACAATGTAGACAACACAACACAATGTAGACAACACAACACAATGTTGACAACGCAACAGAATGTACACAACGCAACACAATGTAGACAACGCAACACAATGTAGACAACGCAACACAATGTGGACAACGCAACACAATGTAGACAACGCAACACAATGTAGACAACGCAACACAATGTGGACAACGCAACACAATGTAGACAACGCAACACAATGTAGACAACACAACACAATGTAGACAACGCAACACAATGTAGACAACGCAACACAATGTAGACAACGCAACACAATGTGGACAACGCAACACAATGTAGACAACGCAACACAATGTAGACAACGCAACACAATGTGGACAACGCAACACAATGTAGACAACGCAACACAATGTAGACAACACAACACAATGTAGACAACGCAACACAATGTGGACAACGCAACACAATGTGGACAACGCAACACAATGTAGACAACGCAACACAATGTAGACAACGCAACACAATGTAGACAACACAACACAATGTAGACAACACAACACAATGTTGACAACGCAACAGAATGTACACAACGCAACACAATGTAGACAACACAACACAATGTAGACAACGCAACACAATGTACACAACGCAACACAATGTAGACAACACAACACAATGTAGACAACGCAACACAATGTGGACAACGTAACACAATGTAGACAACGCAACACAATGTAGACAACACAACACAATGTAGACAACGCAACACAATGTAGACAACGCAACACAATGTAGACAACGCAACACAATGTAGACAACACAACACAATGTAGACAACGCAACACAATATACACAACGCAACACAATGTAGACAACGCAACACAATGTGGACAACGCAACACAATGTAGACAACGCAACACAATGTAGACAACGCAACACAATGTGGACAACGCAACACAATGTAGACAACGCAACACAATGTAGACAACACAATACAATGTAGACAACGCAACACAATGTGGACAACGCAACACAATGTGGACAACGCAACACAATGTAGACAACGCAACACAATGTAGACAACACAACACAATGTAGACAACACAACACAATGTAGACAACACAACACAATGTTGACAACGCAACAGAATGTACACAATGCAACACAATGTAGACAACACAACACAATGTAGACAACACAACACAATGTACACAACGCAACACAATGTAGACAACACAACACAATGTAGACAACGCAACACAATGTGGACAACGCAACACAATGTAGACAACGCAACACAATGTAGACAACGCAACACAATGTAGACAACACAACACAATGTAGACAACGCAACACAATGTAGACAACGCAACACAATGTTGGACAACGCAACACAATGTAGACAACGCAACACAATGTAGACAACACAACACAATGTGGACAACGCAACACAATGTAGACAACGCAACACAATGTAGACAACACAACACAATGTAGACAACGCAACACAATGTAGACAACGCAACACAATGTGGACAACGCAACACAATGTAGACAACGCAACACAATGTAGACAACACAACACAATGTAGACAACGCAACACAATGTAGACAACGCAACACAATGTGGACAACGCAACACAATGTGGACAACGCAACACAATGTTGACAACGCAACAGAATGTACACAACGCAACACAATGTAGACAACACAACACAATGTAGACAACGCAACACAATGTTGACAACGCAACAGAATGTACACAACGCAACACAATGTA